GCTAATATTCCCTGGAGCCAAACAACCCTCCTTGATACTGACACAGATAAAACATCATTGAAAGCTGAGATAGATTACTGATTTGATTTCCATCTAGTGAGCCTGCTGCTTTAAAAGCCAAGCTTTTTCTTTAAACAGCTTTTATTACTATATTTGTATTTAGATTGATATTTTAAAATATTGACATTGTAGACTATGCCCAGTGTTTCAGGGTAAACCTTTAAAAATTGTTTAATGATTCATTGACCTTTATGCATAATTTTGCCAATTAACATTGTTAAATTAAAAATGTTAAACATTTACTATACTTAATTTAAAATAATAATTTTAACAGTTTCATAAAAACAACAAATTTGGTTTTCTAATTAAAGTACAAAATCTGTTTATTTAAACTTTTTTTATGTAATAACATTGCTTTAAATGTGAATGTTATTTGTCAAGTGAAATTTCTAATTGTACTCTGGACTGGAAATTAAAATCCAGAGATTGTGATTGTATGGTTAAATGAATGACTAGAGATATTTGAAGGAAGTCTGTATTACTTGAATTGGGGCTGTATGTATTACTTAAAAATTGATTCTGTGGTTAGAAAAAGCCGGATTCAGTGGTATATATATGATTATGTTTAAACAAGTTATATGTTCAGTTATTTTACTGAATTCTGCTTTTGCTAGCGTTGTATCTGGGCAGTGTCCTGCCTTTTGACACAATGAGCACTATCCCTTCCCATGCATTTTCAAACTTCACTTTGCAGCCAAATCTGCTCGAAATGGAGAATTAATTTATTAAATTCTGTAGCCTATGTGACTTTGAACAGAGTACACACCGCTTTTAACCCTGTTGGATTTTGCAATAGACACATAATTTTCCTTTTTCAGTTGACCATAAAAAAATAAAGAAGCCCTTGAGTTGAGCTCAGTTCTTGACAACTAACCATGTGGTTTTCTTGGCAGTATTACATAAGTGTTGTTTTAGACATTCCAGTACTGCACACCCTACAGCCCTGGTCACTCCCACTCAGCTTCCAAGATCAGCATGCCAAGCCAAAATAAAATGGAAGGCTTTAACTATATCCTTTTCATAGCCATTTTTTATAAGAAAAAGAAAGCTTTTATAATACAAAATACACTTTTTATCTGTCTTCTAGTTTTATATAATCCTATCTTTGAATATTTTTATACAATCCTATTTTTTGAATCCTACTGTTTGAGCAGAACACGTGAGTTATATCAGTTTTTCCAGATATGCTTGAGAAGAGCCTTGTCAGCTTTTCAGGGTAGAGGTAATGGTGGGGGGAATTAATGAGTTGGAGAGTATGCAGAGCATTCCCACATTATAAGAAAGTGACAAGCTGATTTGCACTATGAAGTCCTGAATATATAGAAAACAAAAATTACAGTTTTACTTGGGATATGAAATGGCTTTCCAGTCTTATATAACTCTGTACACCCTACCCCCCAGGAGGATTAATTTCATTTGCAGCAGATGGTGCTCAGATGAACTTTGAGAAATTACTGAAGTTGCAGTGAAGCATGCTTAGTATGAAAGGAAATGTTGAGAATACTTCTTTATTTAACCAGGTATAATTAAATATCTATTTCTAGGAAGCTGTTAAGATTCTGAAGTGTGGCTGAAGAGGCAAAATCGGCTGGGAAGGATGAATTCTTTCTAATATTTCAGGTATCTCCTTTGCCATCTCCCTACATCTCTTGAATAACCGTATATAAAAGTGTCTCAAGGCTCATTTCATGCCTAGAAACAGTCGTTTTTCTTATAAGTTCTTTGTTGAATTGTGCTGTAAGAAGCTGCTATCTACCCCTCAGGGGGCAAGGGTGAACAATTGAATGATAAAACAGACCCATAATATATTGGGGTCCATTAGCAAATTTATTTGAAGAGAGCAAAGGTCAAAAGGCATGGTCAAAAAAGTCAAAATGGCCACTAATGGTGCAATTGAAGTTCTGCCTGTTTTTTACGTGCATTGCACATGTGACACACATAAGGAATAGCTTCAATTGCACAATTGTGGCTGCTATCTTACCTTTTTTAACCATACCTGCAGATATACCTGGAAAGAAGTGCTTTGGGCAAGATTTTTTGAATTTTTTTGAATTATAATTTTTTAAATTTATTGAATACTGAGAATGTAGGAACATACTTGGGGTGTCAGTATTTTTCTCCAGAGGAATAAAACCTCCTCCAATGTAGGCTAAACTTCAACTCAGTCGAGTTTCCTGTTTAATAACATCACCTCCATTTGGCCTGGATTTTATTTCAGCTTGTTTTCCCTCATCCCAGTCAATTTTCAGCCTGGGAACATTCAGTCACTTTCATGGTGTTAGATAGCATGGACAGTAGATTTAGGAATATTAGTGTACTGATGGCATTCTCTGGAAAGTTCCAGGTCAGTTTCTCAGCAATTTCATGTAAATGTTGAACAACATGAGAGAGAAGGTGAAATACTTAATGTAATACTAATGTTGGTGTTCAGGCCTATTGGTGTAGACAATAATCCTTCAACAGCACCACCAGGACTAAGCCAGATAAAAAGGAATGGAATTGCTGCCTCCCCCCAACCCCCCAAAAAATCAAACATCTGCAAGACTCAGTCCCATCAGAATCCTGAAGGTTATCATGATTGAAATGTAATAACTACATGTTGGATGTTTTTCAGGACAGTTGCACTATGCAGAGTTAAGCAAACAACTATGCTGTTGCAGTCGTCTTGACAAAAAGGAAGAATCCTCTGAGAACAGTAAGTAATTTAAAGATGCCAGGAATAAAACAAGGACACAATTTTAAAATTTCAAAGTAACAGTATCTATTGAGTTTGGAATGCAGTTTCTGTGATACAAAAATACCAGCCATGTATTTTTTCAATAGGGTGGTTTTCCATGTAACCATGTTTAAAGGGAGAATGTATTTGGCATTTAATGAGAAATTTGCTATTCTCCAAATCCTTATGTATTTAAATTGAAAATAGCCATGTGAATAGGGATGGTGGGAATTCTGGCAAAACTGGGTTAAGGAAGGAATAAACACTATGGAAGAAAACCTGATCTGATGAAATCCCAGATGCTAGAAGGACAACTCTTTTATTGTTCTACTGCTTTTAGCCCCTGCAGAATTTTTTTCTCTCTTCCATTTGCTGTGACTTATTTATACAACATTCTTCCTCTGCCTCTTTTACTATTTTCCTTGCTCATCTTGTAACTTGACATTTTGGTTCTTAGAAGCAGGGTGGAGTGTACAAAAGGAGAGAAGATGCTGTACAATGGTTGGCCACAGAATTTCCTTTTCAGGTAAAGCTTACCTTCATGCTTAAATATATTAATGTATCAATTACACTTGCTCCAAGGGGGGAGGGGGAATAAGTGAAATCTCCAGAGCAATACTTCTGGAGATTTCACTTATTGGGGCCCCCATGGAGCAAGAGTAATTGATTCCCATGGGGTGGGAAATACGATTTCTAATTTTAATGTGGGGATATCCCTGAGCAGTAATCATTTTCCTCTAACCCTGCATCTAGTTTTAAAAGGAAGATACCCAAATACAAAAAATGTTACTACCAAGAACTCCCATCAAATTATATTCATGTAAAATGGACAAAGGAGATGGACAGAACAATACAGCTTGTATATAAATCTGGTGTAATGTTCATAGATACATAAATACATAAATAATGTTTATGTATTTCCTTAGTTAATGAAACCTCCCCACAAAGGATCTATTATTTATTTATTTAGCAAATTTATATAGCTGCCCATCTTACAAAATGTGACTCTGGGCGGTGTACAATACATAAAAACAGTAAAAAACTGTAAACACTCAAACATAAATAAACCAGAAAAATAGAAAACATAAAAACCCAAGATAGTGAGAGAACAACCATCACTTGACATCACACAACCACCATCTACAATTTGTACAATAGCCTAATTGCTATATTCAAAGATGTACTAGCGAGTAAAACTAAACGGGGAATAAGTAAAAGAAGATCCCAACACTGGTTTGATGAGGAATGTTAAAAGCTAAGCACTCCCTAATTTTAATGTTTTAAATTACATAAGAGTAAAGGCTGTCCACAATTCCTGGTCTCTCTTCAGGAGCAAAAAAGGGAGTATAAAACCCTACTGAAAAAGGAAAAAAAGAGATGCACAGAAAGCTCTCTGGGAAAAATTGAAGAACCAAGCCTCCAAGTTCAGTGATAATACCACATTTTGGTATTTCATGTACATGAGAGAAACTGGCCGTACATTAGAGGTTCCAATTACAGTTTCCATGTGGGAGGTTTAGGCACTGCACGCAAAAAAACTTTTCTCAAACTACTTCAAATACCAAATCAAACTCTACCACTTTTATCAGAACAAAATGTACTTAAGATGTAATCATATTAGAGGTTATTCATACTTCTATTTTATTTGGACTATTTGTTTCTAAAGGTTGGAGCAAAACTTCAGAACTTCATTCAGCTTTTGCCTGAAGAATCTGTCCTGAAACTGAAGAGCACCAAGCTTCTTGATTAAGTATAATGCTCCTGTGAAAGAAAACGATATCTGCATAAGAAGAACAATGCTTGAAATAAGTACTTGTGAAAACTATGTAAGCTTTTAGTCATTAAATGATTCCTAAATGTGGTTTATGCCTGCTCCTTCATTTCCATTTTTCCTCATTCTATGTATTAGCATTGGGATAGGGATTCCTATGTTAAAGCTCCCATTTTACAAATCCCATTATAGGAGTAGCCTTGGAAGAATGTAATTGCTTTTCCCATTCTTAGCCACAGTTATTGCATGTGAATCCCTAGCTACCAATATCACAGCATTCAGCAAGGTGTCAGCATTAAAGGAATAGGTTTTTGCTAGTATGAGGATACTTCTAATGGAAGAGAATATATGTAGCTCAGGGTTGAACTGTGGAGTCTTTGGTGCTCTCT